TGGATGGGTGGTGCTTGGGAGCGCTTAATAGGTACAGTAAAGATGGCCTTCCGAAAATCAATAGGCAGACGCAGACTTGATCTAACCGAGTTATGCACAGCAATGGCTCGAATCGAAGCCATAATAAACACGAGACCGCTCACTAAGTTAGATTTCACCGACATTTCTGAGATCCCAATACGTCCAGTAGATTTCTTACAGGCTAATATCAAATTTGATGTTAGGGAACCACAAGTAGAAGGCGAGTCTAACGATCTAGACTTTGACCCAGAGTTAATTCAAACAGCGCAGCAAGCTAAGCAAGCCTTGCTAGCTTCCGAAGAAATCGCTGACAAATTTTGGGAACGATGGAATACAGAATATCTAACTGCACTGCGAGAAATACAACGAATTTTGCTTAAACAACCTCGCCACGTGCCCTTACGAAACCCAGTTATCGGCGAAATAGTGCTGATGAAACAAGAAAATCTCCCTAGAGGTAACTGGTTATACGGAAAAGTAATTGAGTTAGTGAAAAGTCTAGATGGACAAATCAGATCAGCAAAAGTGCTACTACCAAATAAACATGTTTGTCATAGGCCACTAAATACGATATATCCATTGGAAATACAAAGCGAAGTAGAAAGCTCGACGATCAATAACGGCGAATTGTCAGGCGTAGATGATAATGGAGCGAATAACAACGGCGATCCGCCAGACATAGGTGTCGACGCTGCTAATCCGCCAACAGGTCACCAGGACCCCCCGCAGAGTCGACCGCCGAGACAAGCTACGATAAATGCGCGAACAATTATACGTAATTTCGAACGAAGCTTGGAGGAATCGGATGAAGCTGACGAAGGTTATAGCAGAGCATTAACTCCAATACGCCAGATGTTGTTTTCAGTTATCACCGCATCATGCCTCATCAATCCAGTTGCATCTGATAGATTGATTTGCGAAAAAGGCAATGTTAAGATCAACAATCCAAACACAACATTCGAACTATGTATGGGAAGCTTTTGTAGATCCTTTCCGAAGATGGCTATCGCACAATGGGAGTGGTCATTACCTCCAACAGCATTGAATAAGACCATGTTTGTCTCCATGAGGTACTTTCTGGAGGACCAAGAAATCATGGAACAGACGTATTGTGTACAGCCACATATATGTGATCATTCGAAAGGATTCCTATCGAAAAAACTACTAGCAAACCCACATTGTTGGCCAAACGGTGCCATAGCATCCCTTGGATTAGCGCTTTATGCGATTATTCTAACAACTATTATGCTCTCCACCTGCATAAAAAGGTTACTAATCCGTCCCGTACAAGTAACCGTTAACACAAGAGATAATGCAAGTGTGCGGTTACAGTTATTTAGTCCACCGACGATTTATAGAGCCGTGAACCTTGCCCTCGTGTGCATACTGGCACTAACAGATGCGGCAGCAGCCTGCCAAAACGGCCACATACGGCAAGAAATCGATCTGATATGCACCAGCCATAACAGCTGCTCTTATGAGTACAAAAGAGAAATTCTATTCAAAGAGTTGGATTTGAAACTTTGCGTCAGCATCACGCATGCCAATAAATCCGTTGGTCTGATCGAAGTAGAACGATATCCAACGATAATGAGATGTGTGAAAAGATCGTTATACTTTACGAGAGATGCGACGACCAAAGTATTTAGCACTGTACGTTGCTCGCAGGCAGGGTCATGCGTAAATTCCAAATGCTCACAGACAACTGTCAATACGACAATCAAAGAGCTTGGCAAAGCATACCAGTTTCCAGGCTACTCCGGGTGTCAGCATTCATGCGGTGGACTCGGTTGCGGCTGTTTTCTCCCGCTACCAGCTTGTTCGTTTTATCGGGTCACACAAATCCCAAGAAATGAAGAGATTTATGAAGTAGTATCATGTCTGAAGTGAGAACCGTTGGTGAAATTAAAAGTCCGAGTATCACTCTACAACCAAGAAAAAGAAACCTTGATTACAAGCGCACCTTATATCAAACACGCATTTCAAGGAATGGAAATCTCGATAATTTCGGTACAATCGCCGCACTTTTCCATGCTAGACAGAAAAATAGCAATATCAAACAAAGAAGCTTTGCTTCTACCAGAAGGATACGAACTAGCAGCTAAATGCGCGACTTACCAGTCAGCAGCAAAAGATTTCAAAAATTGCGCCAACCAAATGATATGCTCATGCGAAGACGCAAATGGAGCAATCAAATGTCACTGCCCTCAAATGTCTATTAGAGACGTGAAAAATGACATTACAATTGTATTTCCCATTCATTCTCCCTTCACTTCCTTCCAAAAACGAGATAAGGAACTCTTCGTAAAAACTATGCAAGGAGAAATAGTCGTATCGCTAGAATCCCGCTCGCTGAAAAACAGCGCAGAATATCTACTTGAACAAGATTGCAAACTAAACGCGAGCAGCGTGATTGGATGCTACGACTGTCAGGAGGGAGCTCAAGTGAACATCAGTTGCACAACAGATGAAAGAGCATGGATTGTAATCCAGTGCGGGGAACACACATTTTCGGTAGAGTGCGATTCGCAAGGAAAAGAAACTGCACTGGCAATAGAATTTCAAAAAGCAATTGTGCAAGAAACATGCGTTGCGCAATGTAACAACAAGACCATCAAATTTGACCTTACAGGTACACTCAGTTTTATACCAAACATTGTGGAACACATGTTGTTCGAAAATCCAGCGCAACTGAAAAATTCCCACAAAGATTGGTTTGCAGACTGGAAAGTTCCAAGTATTTTACCAATCTGGAATACTCTCCGCAAACACTGGCAAGTCACTACATTTATATTGGGATCAATAACTATCCTCTCGGTAATAACATATTGTTTCGGACCAGCATTAGTCTTTGCGCTGGCTCGAGTACTCTACATCTGCGTGGTAATTATCGCGAAGGCAACTGCGCTGTTTATTCAGACTGTATACAGATGTATCAGACCCGCCACGCACTAAAAGAGTTGGTCCGACACACCGTTATAATCGGCATTATACACAATACCCATATTCTATATTATAAACAATCCCATATGGTAGAGGTGGAACCAAGACTCTTTGATGAACGATACTCATTCAACTAATTCACGTCAACCTGAACACTACAACTAATGCCAATGGACGAGATCGACGTCGCCTTGCACATCGAACCTCTAGCGGATACCCTCAAAGACATTAAGGAGCGGATGGAGAACGGACTGTCAACAATCAATGCCAAGATCGACAATATCATGCAAGCAGTCCAAGCTACGAGCGAGAGATGGTCGATTATTCACCACCAGCTAACTATTATGGTGGAAAGGACTACCCCGAGGTCAAATTGCATGTTCTGCACGGTGGAGGATAACAAGGATCAACACCCGACTGGACGTTGCTGCAAATACCCCGACGCCGTTTCACGGGCAGTACAAGCGGCAGCCCTCGGGCTCTGCGAAAGGTGCCTACAACCACGGCACCATGAAGATTGTGGCGTAACATGCCCAATTTGTGGAAGACTCCACAATGTGCTGCTGTGCCCCAACAGAGGACAAAACGGCCCTTACAAACGTCGGAAGAACTAATCTAGCCCCAACCTCGAGCTCGCTCGCCATCCATGCAAAGTTTCAAAGTCCGATCGCCTTCAATTCATCAAGCCTTCAACTCCAATCCCCGGATCAATTCCACCAACGCACAACGTCCTCCACTCCTCCACTTGTCATCGTCTCAACATCGCATCCCACCTTCGGCCGCTCGACAAGTTTTTTTTCATTTTTCCCCTTTTTCGTCGTTTTCCTCCTCCATCATATGTTTTTGTAACTCTATCCAACGTTTCGTTAACATTCTGCTGTTCCCTTACTTGAATTTTGCCTTTTTCCTCTTTTTCGCATTGTTCTGATGTTCATTGAACATCCTTCCTTTTTTTGTTCGCTTGAAAAGTTCCTTTTTATTTGTGTTTATTTTCCATGAAATTTTTCCTTTGAAAATGGTTTTTTGTGCGGCGGGGAGTGTCGTGATAAAGACACGACCCATGCTTAACTCTTTGTTGCACTTTGTTTATATTTTGTGCACGTTATTCATTTCATGCACAAAGAGTCTGCCACATGGCTGACTCTTTGTGCTCATCGGTCAGCCTCCTCTGGCCGATTCCCCATCACTCATCATATTGTCGTGTGCCGGAGATACCGGCTTAATTTGTTGCTGAATAAATCCATCTAACTCCCTCTAGTGTTAACAGGGGTACGAAAAGGGTAAAAGAATCCCACTGAATCACCACACAGGAGCGCAAGAACATAAAAAGAGAAAAGGATCTGTGTCGTAGTACAGAGTCTTGTGATCAAGATAACCTTGCCAGCAAACACAGGTTCTGAGCGTAGGCCTGAACAAAACAGAATGGCTCACTCCATCATGAAGACATCAACTCCACGAAAAAAAAGAAAGTTGAGACCAAATGCTTACCTTATTCTTACTTCCGTCAATTTCGAAAAACGAAAAATTCTCATTGCGATAGATTTCATTACCAGGCGGATGCTTGAGGTAACTTTTCTTCTGAAATAACATTTGTAACTACTTATGTCTCCCACTGAACTGCAAAAAATTATACTCACCTCCCAACTCGATCATTTCGATGTTGCGGATTCTCGTTAGAGCATCCGCACTGTGACCCACCATCGACATCAATCCCCGCGTGCTTGGGGCTACATATGAAATTAACTTCTCAGGAAAGGAGAAATCGGATGAACAGGTGAATGAGGATGTACTTGCACGAATAGAGGAAACATAGAATGTGGCGTAACTATGAATGAGATACTACCAGCTTCAAGGGCCAAAAATGCATGACCGGTCTATATTTGCGCTTAGTTCAGAAATGCTTGAAAACGCTCATGTGCACACTTGGCGCAGTCAAAAGTTACCTGATATTGACTTTAATTTATAAACACGTATCAATGTTCAAATTGAAATGCTTCCAGCCCGATCAACCCAAATAAAAACCGCATGTGTGCACATCAAAAGCTCAAAACATTTCTGCTAATGTCACCCTCTTCAGAGAAGCCTTCCACAACATGCGTATTGTAATAGTAAGTATCAGTAAGTACGCACACATTCGGCAAATCAATACAAGACCAAAACAAAAGATCAAAAGCTTCTAATGACGAACCAATCTGTGCCATCCCGTCCTGACTATCCTCATCCATAGCGGCTGCCTTTGTTTTTCGCATTGCCGCGCTTTCCTTGCTCATTTCACGTTCTGGTGATGCTGATGCCGATGTGCTAAAAAACGCACCTATAGACTCAATACTAGCACAGAAAAAACCAACCTTTTCACTGCTTGCACAATTAATCCTTCCTTTCCCTTCTGTGGCATACGCAAGGAGTCAAGATGATTTTCAGGGGGCCAACCCATTCATCGAGTCTAAGATCAGATGATTAAGTTATTCTAAGATCCACTGTTACATAGACCAATTTCAGAAAGACAGATTGGATAGAATATGAAGAAAAGAAAAAACTATCCTACCTTCTGTTGCAATCAATGTAGTGCACATAGAAGCGATATGGATCACAGCGAACCAGCATCACCTCTAAAAGCAATATTCTTATGTCCGTATCTGGATTTCACTTCACTCAAATGACTGCTCCACAACCTAACCATAAAGGACCATTAACTGTACTGCACTAATTATAGCTACTTTTCATTACAAAAAAATAACACACTGTATTCATCCTGTGTGGTCATCTTCACCATAAATCGGCATCCTTCAACAATTCTCTCCAATCCAGTATGGATCGTATTCTCCGTTGCAGCATGATTTTCATGTGTCAATGCCACCATTTGTCTTCTTTCGCCTTCTCTTCCTGCGTTGCGACTAGTGCGACCAATTTCACCACTGGAACATTGCAATGAATTCTTCACACAAAGTTACAGAATGATAACGAGGAAGGTAATTACCAAAAACATGAAATGCTCCAAATGAGTCAAGGATTTTACAAAAGCAAAGGTGATAATGATATAAATGAAATATCAACTGACAAAGAAAGGATAAAATACTTCAACAAGTGACTGATATACATTATATTTTGTTCTTGACCCCTTTCCCTGGAATTTGATAAGCGAAACAGTCAGAAAAAGACAAGTAAACACGAGAACTTAGCAAAAAAAGCGTAGAATGGTTCTTCCCAACGAGCTGCCAGCTTACGGTCAGCGCCGCACACTCAAAACCGCAACGGATGCATGGTTGGAGGGGATATCCCTCGATGGGCGGGGTCCTCCGATCGTGGCGTCACTCTCCCCACTTCCGGAGCGATTTTCTCGCTTCCGATTCGACGAAATGCGCCCGCGATCGGGCTGCGGGACATGTCAAGGGGGCTACTTCTGCGCGGCAGTGAAATCCCATAACCCCCCACCTAACCTGGACACTGCCTTTAAGGCGCACTGTTATGCAGCTGAGATTTAGACCTGTAGCTACGTTGAAAGCTTTACGGACCACCCACAGGGCGTTAGAGCGTAGTCTTCTGAAGATGACCCACACAAACAACATCTTGTCGGACGCAGTACGGATATGAGAATAGAAGAGCAGATGACAGATGGACATTAAGAACATTGGAGTAGATTCCCGCGAAACTAAACGTCCACGAGTTCCAGTGGTGGAAACCGTCATCAGCTCCGCGCATCGCTGGATTCCTACGTATCGAGGGACACCTTCGGTATCGTTATTATTCTGTTTTATCTGTGTAGCTTATATTTTCGGATAAACAGATTAGCCATCAGCCTGTGTCTTTCAATATATTCCCAGTAATTTTTACTCCACGGGACTAAGGAACAAACGATTTTGATCAAAAATCGCTTTTTTTCATTTGAGCATTATTTGACTTGATTGGATTGGAGGCAAACACTTTTGCATTAATTTGCGGAATAAACGAAAGTAGATATGCGTGGACAAGCACTTACATTCAAATACATAAACACGAATGCAGGCGACGCTCTGCTTTTTAGATGAGACTCCCTCTGCAGTCGCAGAAGTTTCGGAAAAATTCTAACAATAAGATAGCATGAGCGAACATCGGCAAGTGCTTAGACTCCAACTTGACGAAAAAATTTTTATTTAAATGTTTGTTTGCGATTTTTCACGACTGCCAAATCATGACTGGCATCGAGTTTGTTGGTCCTACATCTCAGTGGAATATGATATCAAAATCTATCCAACAAAATTTCTACAATATAGAGAACCAGTGCGTCACCTCTGCTTCGCAGAGGTTCGCACTGGCTCTACTATCCGTGTGCATTTCTCGTGATTGCATTATAATGACTTTGAAACTCACCACGCAATGCTGAACATCACAAATGAGTTGTAAACAGCTGCTCATTCTCGAAGCTTTTCCACGTAAGATCGGTGATTTTGGAAGCAAAAAATTGCTCTGCGAAGGAATAAAAGCGAATTTGAATTATTTACTGAATTCACTGCGGCTTGATAATTGCTATAAGTGCACTAAACAGTGTGAGCTACATGCCTGTGCAAAAAGCTCTTCAATTCCTTAGGTAACACCTTGACAAATCGGTGTTAGACATTATCATTTCTTTGGCGTCATTCTGCGAAAGAATGAATTTTCTGATCACCTTTTTGAGCTATAATCCAAGGGCTGCAAATCTACTTTTCGAACAAATCCATAAATTTTTCAAAACTTTGAATACCGATCCGGTATTGCGATTCAAAAGCCGGTGGACCCGTTTGACGCCAATTTTTGAAAGATCCGTTCATCGGATCAGCTCGCCCTTGCGCACGGTGACTACATGCTGGGAGCACATTGTGTACAAAAAATCAGCTTGAAATCTCGGCTGCAACTCGCGCTATGAATTTCGTGACAGACAGAGATTTACACACACACACACACACACACACACACACACACACACACACACACACACACACACACACACACACACACACACACACACACACACACACACACACACACACACACACACACACACACACACACACACACACACACACACACACACACACACACACACACACACACACACACACACACACACACACACACACACACACACACACACACACACACACACACACACACACACACACACACACACACACACACACACACACACACACACACACACACACACACACACACACACACACACACACACACACACACACACACACACACACACACACACACACACACACACACACACACACACACACACACACACACACACACACACACACACACACACACACACACACACACACACACACACACACACACACACACACACACACACACACACACACACACACACACACACACACACACACACACACACACACACACACACACACACACACACACACACACACACACACACACAAACGTGAAAAACCCTTAGCCCGTTATTATAAGTTATGATATCGCGAGATTTCTAATGTTTATGTGTTGCTAGTAGTAACTATCCTGCTTATAAAAGTCCACATAATATTCAGCAAAGGGACTGGGTTGGCATTTAACCCACTGAGGAATATGCACCATGCTTGTGTTCGCCACCAGCGCTCAGTGTGTTCCGGAACCCACGGGAACTGAGTAACTTGTTTCTTGAATGCCGGGCTCGCCTTTTGGGTTCGCGAACCCACTGGGTACGTTCGCGGATACCGGTTAAGGGGCTTTTCGTGAGTTCCGGGACCCACTGGGTACGGTTAACCCACTATGGCCGTATTCATCAACGGTTCGCGAACCCACTGGGTAAGATCGGTATTCACAAGTGCCCGCTGGGTTCGCGAACTCTGACGTCACCAATGTGCCTTCCCAGTCTGCGTACTACTTTTCTTATCTCTCAAATAAGTCGCGCTAAACTAAAAGCGTCAGCACGCTTGACACGCTTTCGAGGACTCTTATGTTCGGATGAATGATATCAATCAATGTCTTTTGTGCGACAAAACATTTTTTTTTATTTATTTATTCATACGCACTTCGGCGTGCTATCAATCCAACATAACAGCATAACAAGAGGATACTAAGAAGAGCCGCAATGAAAAAGAAGTAGTAAACAAAAGGAAACAAAAAAAACATACATTTGCATTGCACGACTTGAATTTTTGTGGAAGATTGCCCAAACTTGAGCAGGGAAATATAAATGTGGTGATCACTTAAAAATGGTGTTATCACAGTTACTCGTGATCATCGATTTTTTGTTTTCGTGGAAAATCGCCCATTCTTGGTGCAGGGACGTAATAAATTGCGATGATCACTAATAAAATAAATTGTCAAAATCAGCGACATTATCAATTTTAAGATCTTTTGTTTGACCGGTTTCATTAACTTTGGAAAGAGATTTAATATGGTGGTATCAAGTAAAATAGCCCTTATGATTATCTAAACTGTCCTTTTGTATTTCTTGCGAGGGTGCCTGAAGGGTGGGAGGAATACGTTTTCCTTATTGGAATGTGCAAAAAGATCATCGTTGTACAGAGGTTCTAATCTTTATTCTACAAACTAGTACGCGACTAACATGATTACTACTTGTTCCCCTCTTACTGATTTTCACTTCACGAAATTAATGCACGAACAATTTTGATTAAAAACCTTTTCCACTTTTTGAAACGCTTGTCTGTTAACTTGATTGGATTTTTTTATTTATCTGTGGAATAAACGAACATAAGCAAACGTGAACACGGACTACCAAATACGTAAACACGAATGCAGGCAGACGCACTGCTTCTTAAATGAGGCTCCCTCTTTAGCCGCAACAATATCTGAAAAATTCTGAGATGTATGCACAAACTTTGAAAAATGCATAGGCTGTACATGCTCTTACGCAAAAATTTCCTCAACACGTTTCGGACCGGTGCTGCACATGGTGCAGCACGCGCCTTTTAAGGATCTTTTTAGTGTTTATAGGAGTTTTCCTTTTGTCCAAGGTCATCAAATTGAAGGCCTAAGCTTCCCCTTTTCAAACGACTCTGTAAGGCTGGGCTGCCGATATTTGTTTAGGAGATATGAGCACAAATCGAATAACAGTTGCAACGAAATGCGGCAACGCGAACGACGCGTGTGACGTCGCAACTTTTCTTTGCTTCAGTATCAAAGAGAAAAACCGTAGTTCCGATACTAATGTGTATCGTGTACAACATATATACTTTTGGATACAATTAAAAACTGAGCTCTTGTTCCTATCTTTCAGAAAAGCACAGAAGTCCTTCTCAGGCGACAAAATTCAAACACTTCGAATTCACTCAGAACTTCGGGTATGAACCTTATCTGACATGCTGATTACAGATGTAGCACACAGTATACGAATTAAAGTCCCTTTTTTGGCTAACGGCTGAAAGTACCCTCTTTTTCGCCGCGCGCGATTTCGCGGTCCGAAACGTGTTAAAAAACTTTTGCGACTTTTCAAAGATTGCCAAATTGTAACTGGCATCAAGGTTGCTACTCCTACATCTCAGTGGAGTATCTTATCAAAATTTATCCAACAAATTCTTGCCAGTCAAAATAAATATGGAAAGTGTTTCCAGTGTATAAGTTAATACCGATATCAAAATACCGATCTCGTGCTAATAGTAATCATCCCTGCTTATAAAAGTCCACATAATATTCAGCAAAGGGACTGGGTTCACATAACCCGCTGATGAATTTGCGTCATGCCTGGGTTCGCTAACGTAGCGTTCAGTGGGTTCCGGGACTCACAAGAACTGGGTAACCTGTTTCGTAAATGCCGGTATGCTCGCCTGTTGGGTTCGCGAACCCACTGGGTTCATTCGCGAATACGTTAAGTGGTTTTTAGTGGGTGCGACCCACTGGGTAGGG